GGGCAGGGTGGTGGAGAGGCAAAGCGGGATTATACCACCCTTGTTGTTACACGCTGGTATCGGCCGCCAGAACTACTTCTTCAACTTCGTCGCTACACTACCGCGATCGACATGTGGGGAGCTGGGTAAGTTATGTTTAGGGCCCTTGTTAGTATGGAAACTAACACAAAAATAGTTGTGTGTTCGGCGAAATGTTCAAGAAGAAGCCCATCTTGACAGGAAAGAGTGATCTAAATCAAGCGGAGATTATTTTTGAATTAGTTGGATCACCAAACGACAACAACATGCCTGGCTGGCATACTTTGCCCGGTTGTGATGGTGTCCGAGCTTGGGATCCTCAGCCTGGCAATCTGGACAAAGTCTTTGGACAGTGAGTTGCCAAGAGTGCTGTTTTTCTCACATCAACTAACCTCGAAAGGTACGGCGATGATACAGTATCACTGATGCGACAATTGCTAAAGCTGGACTGGCGGAAGCGCATCAATGCCATTGACGCACTGAAACATCCATACTTTACAAACCATCCATTACCATCACGCCCAGAGGACATTCCATGGTTTGCCTCGTCACATGAACTTGATCGCCGGAATGGTCGTGATGGTCGCGGTCCAGGGCAAGCTCCCCCACCCGCGCCCGCTGGCGGAACCGTTGGCGGGGGACCAAACGCCGAAGGGTGGGCTGGGAAGGGTCCTCCTAATGGTAGCTCGTGGGAAGGTAATGGTCGCAACTCGAGACAGCCACCTGGCTCTAGTCATCCTCCCAATCGCGCTTATGAGAGTCGTATCCCCAATGAGATTCGTCTTCCTAATGAGACCCGTGTTCCAAAAGCAGGACCTGATGGGCGAGGCGCTCCTCCTCCTCCACCGCGCCGGCAACCATGGCAAACAGACGCCCCTCCTGTTCGTTCGGCATCACACTTACCTCCGGCACCCCCAGAAGGATCGAGACATCCTTTACCACCTCGTCCCGACCCATTTATTCCACGTGATCCTCACTCTCGGGATTCTTCACACGCGCCGAGAGAATCCTCACATCCCCCTAGAGATACCCGACCGCCACGGGATCGAGATCCACATCGCAAGCCGGCAAATCTAGACTCTTACGTTCCAAGTTACTCCACTGGTGGACGACGAGACGATCGTCGTGATGATCGTCGTGATGATTGCCGATCGGCGGAGAGAGAAGACCGCTATAGACCATCATCTAGAGATGGACGTAGAGGATCAAGAGATGAAGGACGAAGACGGCTCAATTACGACGATGTCGACAATCCACGATCTCGTGATGATAGAAGTGATACTGGAGGGAGAGACCGACCTCGCGATGAACGACCACGGGATCGCGATCACAGACGCTCCAGAACCCGGAGCCCTGCTCGCGAAAGAACTCGAGAGAGGGAGCGCGAGAAGGAGCATCGGGATAACAGAGATGTATACCGGAGATGAAAGTCAACCCCATGGGGAAGCAACCCAGAATACAGCGCAGGCAAAGGGTGTTTACGGATGCCCGTGCATGATCTGACGACGGCTGCTCCCGAGGTTTGAATTTGGCAAAACATTTTATATTGCGAAAGTTTGTGGAGACTTGGGGGAGGCTATGTGCGATTTAAATGGAGTTCTCTGTTTCACTGCAAGTTACAAGCATAGCGACGGGCGTACTCGGGGCTTCTTTGGATGTATTACCACGGGTGGTCTCGGGGAATTGGGCTCGTTTGCATCTTAGGCTTGATGGGCAACGAGTATTTTCATTTGCATATGGCGGCTTTTTTCTCTAGCAGAGCAGGATTCCGCAGACCGTGAAGGTGGGGAGTGTGCATTTTGGGGCATCTTCTACGTATTCATCCGGGCGGAATATTAGAACAAACATCCTCGTAAGGAAAGAACGATAATTATGGTGTCCACCTCGGCATACAAAATTTTCAATCTTTCAATCACCTCTTTATATTCCTCTCGATTTTTATTTGAATATTAATAGTGGTGTAATTGGAACTTGTTCTCTCTTCTCTTTCTGACTGTGAACGTAAGCCCTGTACCACCATACAGAGGCACATGTTCCATACTCTAACCTCATCAATCCGCGGTGAGCATCGCCAAATCCACAAACAATTATCGTCCGTAAGCAGTAAGTGCACCAAGTTAGGTAGCTTTGTCTACTGGCTACACTCCTCCGTTGCAGACGTTCACACGTCCGCGATCTCATGGCCGACAGGGCTGAACCCTACGATCGCTGACTCGAGAAAAGAAAAAACTCCAGATTCCGGGGCAGAAAAAGAGCCTCTCCAAAACACCCACGCCACGGCCATAAAAACTCCCATATCACTTTCTTCTTGCATTGCGTTCACGCCTTATCTTCATACATACTATTTCAAGACTCTTCAGGTCACAATGAGTTCCTCACATTCTCCCTCCACCAACGGCCTCGTCACGCCGAGTTCGGAGTTAACAAATGGGAATGGGCACATTTACGGGGCTGAGGAATCGATACCACACACCAAGGAGAAGAATTTGCCTGGGGGAGGGAATTGGGTTGTTCAAAAGTTTGGAGGCACTAGTGTGGGGAAGTTCGCATTAAATATAGCGGATATTGTGCAGTGAGTTTCTGGTTGTGAAATTGTGGTCGTGTGAGGTTCGGCGTACACTTACTGTGCTTGCAAACAGGAAGGGACTGGTTAAGAATAGGATTGCAGTTGTTTGTTCTGCTCGGAGTAGTCATTCTAAACTTGAGGGAACGACGAATAGGTATATTGGGCTTCTTCAATTCCATGTTCTCGAGGTTGGGTCTTGCTAATTCCGAGTCAACTCTTCAGATTACTCCGCGCAGCCAAAGCAGCAGAAACCCTTCACGGCTCGAAGCAATACACTGAGATAGTGGTCCAAATCGAAGAGGACCATATCAACGCCGCAAAGCTTACAATAAAAAACCCAGACCTCCTAGCCTCATACATAGACCAAGTGAAAGCAGAATGCAAGTCTCTCTCCAAGATCCTGGAGTCGGCTCAACACCTGGAGGAAGTGAGCCGGAAGGCTGAAAATAAGATTATTAGCAAAGGCGAGAAATTGGCCTGTCGGTACATGGCTACACTGCTATCGGATAGAGATGTTCCAGCGCAATTCGTCGATTTGTCCGACGTAATAAAGAGGTACAATGTCCCATCTTTGACGAAAGACGGTGCATACAAGGAATTGGCTCTAGCGTTGGGACAGGAAGTCCTCGCATGTGGAGATAAAGTACCTGTAGTAACTGGATACTTTGGACACGTCCCGGATGGACTCCTCCACTCCATAGGACGTGGCTACACCGACCTCTGCGCCGCCCTCGTTGCCATAGGCACATCAGCCCAGGAACTCCAGGTCTGGAAAGAAGTGGACGGAATCTTCACAGCCGATCCACGAAAAGTGCCCACGGCACGACTCCTCCCCTCGGTATCCCCCTCCGAAGCAGCGGAACTGACATTCTACGGTTCCGAAGTCATACACCCCTTCACGATGGAGCAAGTGATAAAAGCACGCATACCCATACGAATCAAGAACGTGATGAACCCCCGCGGTCAGGGGACAGTAATACTCCCCGATGCGGAATCCCTCCTTGACACCACACATCCGCAAATATTCCGCGGACGATCTTCTTCAAGTCTAAATACTTTATACCAACCCAAGCGACCGACCGCGGTTACGATAAAACACTCCATTGTCGTGCTCAATATCCACAGCAATAGACGCACTCGTGCTCATGGCTTCTTAGCCAATATATTCAGCATATTAGATAAACACCATTTATCCGTGGATCTAATCTCCTCTTCTGAAGTACATGTTTCCATGGCACTGCATTCGGAATACAGCATGCTTGCGGGTGGCACTACAAATGATTCCGCCGAATTGAAAATACAGGATTTACGCTTGCATGGCGCGGTGGAAGATCTAGCCAAGTTGGGGAACGTGGATTTAGTCGCTGACATGGCCATTGTCTCCCTCGTGGGGAAGCAGTTGAAAAACATGACTGGCATATCGGGAAAGTTCTTTTCGGTGCTGGGGGATAACAATATCAATATTGAGATGATAAGTCAAGGTGCGTTGTTCTTTTCGTCTCCGTCTGCTTCTGATCCTCCGGCAGTTGCCAGGACGGGCTTTGGTTGTTGGAGGAGGGAGTTGTGTTTTATGAATTCGGAGCTGACGAGGTATATAGGTGCCAGTGAGATAAACATTTCTTGTGTTATATGGGAGAGGGATGCCGATAGAGCGCTTAATGTTGTACATACCAGTTTGTTTACCTTTTTGGAGTAGAGTTTTTACCTGCTCCTTCTTGCATGCTCTTGGAGCCATTGCATTTTTCTCGGTTTGTTTGTGCTGCATTAAGACTTGCATATGTGCGGCATGACTGGCGTTTGGGGAACTTGGGTTTGATCTTCGAGTAGATGATTGTGTGCTATTTTGATGTTGTTCTTCCGGAGCGTAAAGCTCGGTTTCAAAAAGCATTGGGAAGGTCGTGTGAATGAACTGTCGATTTGTTGTCGTATGTCAATGGAATTGAATCTGTCTTGGCTTTGAGAGAAGGATGTCTCCAATCTGCCATCGCACCAGAGCGGTGTAATCGCCATCACAACCCGGATAGTAATGTTTGAGGTCACCATCAGGCTGAAAGCAGCTTTCAGCCTGATGGTTAACATTTTGCTTTGCTGACCCCACATTTTGTGCCAACTGATGAAGAATGGTCAGCAAGGAGGCGATTTCATTGCCCATTCAAAAATGGAAGTCATTTACAGGCAGCGCAGATGTGATGAGCTTGTATTAAGTCTAGATGTAGAAGCAATTTGGCGTCACTAGAATGACTGGCAAAACAACTCAATTCTGTAAACGAATGCCAAGGTTTTAATTAGAGATGGGCGATGGTACTGGAGAGGTACTCCTAAAACGATGTCTTCAAAATCGACATTGGCAAAAAGACGATACATAAGTAGGGTAGATAGTAGATAGATATACGTAGGATAAAAAAGCAAAAGGAAATGCACCCTCCGGGAATCGGACCCGGGCCTCAAGCATACACATATGGGACTGGGAAGCTTGAATTCTACCACTGAACTAAGAGTGCTGGCAGGATATCGTTGAAATGCTTTGTGAGCGATATATAATCCTTTTACGGTGCGAGAGCGGCAAGTGCTTTCAGGCGGGGAAAGTTGGCTGGGCCGGAGAGCTTCAACGTCACCACAAAAAACCACAACTCCCAAAATCTCTAACCTACACCGCAAACATGTCGAAAATTGAGAAGACGATAGCCCGGCAGCAGGAGAAGTATGTACTGCTTTTCAAAAGACTGGAGAACATCTGAAAAGCTAAACCATTACATCCCAGAATTGAAGAAGGCCAATTCTACGAAGCACACCAACAACTCCGCGTAATAGCCTCCCGCTATGTAAAACAATCAAATTGGTCCGCCGCAACCGACATCCTCTCCTCTGGCGCTCAACTCCTCCTCAAAGCCGGACAAGGAGGCAGTGGTGGTGACTTGGGTCTTTATCTTATTGATGTTTATACTAAATCATCGCGAAAGCCAGATGCCGCTTCCAAGGCACGGGTAATTAGCTTGATGAGGGGTTTTCCAGCTGGAGAACCCACAAGGAAGAGATTCATCAATGAGGCGGTTGCTTGGACTAGCCGATTGGGAGAGTTTCCTGCTGGTGATCCGGAGATACATCATGTTGCTGGTGTCTTGTACGCTGATGGTGTGGAAGATTCCTTACATCAAGTCTTGGGGACGAGGCACTAACCAGAGGATACAGAGGACGAACCCTACGACGCAGAAAAACATCTCATACTAGGCACAAAGGATTCCCCCGAAACGCTCTCTAAACTCCTCTACACATGGTATACCGAAGACGAACCCTCCACCGCCCCCTTCTATGCCTCCCGCGCCGTACTTCCCTACCTCCTCATTGGCAACTTGCGCGCAGCCAATAAATCACACTTACTTTTCACATCGCAACTCCAATCCATACCGCATCTCGCGACCCAAACCGTCGAATCCAAAACCTCAGACTTACGCATCTACCCCTCTCTGCCTCTGCTAAATTTCCTGGGATTACTGCTTCTGGCTGTGCAGAGAGGAAGTCCAGAACTGTTCCGCATGTTGAAGAGTCAGTATAAGACACAACTTGCAGAGGTGCCGGCGTGGAGTGAGCCGCTTGATCAGGTTGGCGAGATGTACTTTGGGATTAAAATCCCTTCGCAAGGAAACCCATTGATGGATATGATGAGTGGTATGCTTATGGGTGGAGGTGGACAGCCGAAGAAGAAGCCTAGGACTGTTGGTGCGGCAGCTCCTACCGCGCCTGGAGTGGATTGAGTGAGGGTGTTTTCGCTATCATTTTGAGCGTTTCTGGTGGGTGTTTCTAGCGGGCATAGCATCCATATGGTACATAAACTCCTAGTATTACACGCCTCAATGAACCATTTTGCACATTGCTAGGCTTCTAGAGAAAGGTTGTGAGGACGTGCTACTTGTTTCAGTTATCTCCGTCCCTTCTTCCGCACAGGCGGCCCTTGAATACTGTCAATGTCCCTCCTACTCAACGTCAACATCCCACCCTTGAATTTCCCTACTCCTGGCCCTCCCACACCCCTCTCCCTCTTCTCTTGTACCCTAAATTTCCTCTTCTCCTTCTCCAGCACAATTCCCGATTCCTTAGCCTCCCTCCTGCGCTTGCCCTCTCTATCCTGCGCCTTTTGAACAATGCCCTTCCTATGCGCCATTGGCATTTTCGCTTGCTTGAACACGGAAGCTTTGGATCCAAGATTCTGGAGTCGTAGGTCAAGGGCTTTATGTCTATTCTTGCCGCTGGGGTTGATTGTTTCAGAGATGTGATTAGTGCTATTAGTGGGGTCTTTGCGTAGGAGGTGCGACTCCGTTAAGAGACGTTGAAGGGCTAAATCATTTTTGATGTTTTCGGTAGAGTCTTCGTCGTCAGCAGCTTTTGGTGTGGCTTTGGCTTTTTCTGGTAAGGATTTTGGCGTTGAGCTAGGAGGTTTGGAAGATAGGTACGCTTTGAGTTCGGATTTATCCGAGAGGAGGGTGTCCGTCTGTGGAGTTGTTGTATCAGAGGATATTATTGTAACTGTTTGCTCGGCTTCTGAAGAGACTCCCGACCAATCTGATTCGGCGGATTCATCCTCGTCCTCTGAATTCATTTCTGGCTCTTGTTGTTTTGTGATTGTAGTGGGCAATGGTTTAAATCGGGCTTCGAAATGGCGTTGGAATAATGCTTTCACGACGTCTGCGTCGTCCTCCGATGCTGATGGTGAATTTGAAATATTTGACTCAGGCGGTGCCCTTCGTTTTCTCTTTCTAAGTATTGTACTCATTGTGGTATATGAGAGGGATAGTGGTCGAGTAGGAATTGTCTGTCGGTCGCAAGTAAAATTTTGGTGGATCGTCGGAGTTTACAATTGTAATAACGCCGACGATGCTTTCCACTACTCCTCGTGCCAATTGAAACTCGGACAGGGTCTATAGAACCAAGTGACCAAGTTAGAGGACCTGTATTTGTGAGCCTTTAAGTATATCTAGAGTTTCTAGTACTAAGCTTTTGATTAAGGTCCGGAAGCTAATAAGATAACGAAGCTTTTCTAAGGTTCTCAAATTGGTTTATAGACCCCAAGGATCCCAGCTACATCCGAGTTTCAATTGGCAAGAGGAAGTACCGCGAGTTTTGTTGTTGAACCTGCTTTTGTAAGATAAATTGCATTGTTCGCATCTGAAACGCCATGTAGTCCTGATACACTCTCAAATGTGTAGGCTTGATGTAGACTTCCCATGTTGGTGTGCTTTTGAGCTGAGTAGATGAGTTAGTTGGTCGAAAGGGCAGTTGACGGGAAGAGGAACTCACTGTATTTAGCATCAAGACTTCTTCTCTGAGGGTGGGTTCCTTCTTGGGAAGTCTATGCGTCGGTTTGAATTTCTGCTTTGGTATGCATTTCTCCTCTTGGCTCTGCTTCACTTCCTCTGATTTACACACTCGACGAACAAAGTCTTCTAAACTCTCCCCTTCATCGTCCTTTTTTCGCACCGCACTGAGTGCTTTCGCCATTGCAAATAGCAGCAAATTCTCTCACCGCCCTAGGCTCCTCTACAGAACCTTGAATGTTCTCGTAATCATAAGTTTGGGTTGGCTTCACTGGGATATGTTCTTCACTATTGCACGACGTAGATGGGCTTGAGACGCCATTCATGAGATTGTGGAGTATTTGATAAACAGCTTCATCATCCTTCATTGGTTCATTGACTGGAATCCAAGACTCGTCTGTATTCTCGCATGTCTCGTCGGGTTTCTCTACCCTTGATCCATTGGCATGACAGACGCACGCTTGTGAGTTAAAGTACTTTGCTTTCTTTGATATATGAGCGACGTGTACCGCTTCGTTATCTACGCCCTCGGCAACATCCTCATCTCTCCTTCCTCTCTTCTTTCCACATGCTGCGAGATCTCTGTATTTCACGTTCGAGCCCGCAGTGAGCCTAGGAACGGTTGTGTAGTTGGCTGTGTTGGAGCGAAGCTGTTTCCCGCAGTCTGAGCGCATTGGGGTCATGTCCGTGTTTGCCATTGATGCGGTCATTTCGGAGTTGTTCGAAGTCTTTTTGGGACTGAAAAGTGGCATGTTGGGTGGCTGTGTCGTTGGTGTGGGTGTAAAAAATCGAAAGTGAAAGACAAGCAAAAGTTGAATGTCACAGAGATTGGAAGAACTGAAGGGTGGGGAAGCTTAAAAGGCGGTAAACGGCTGCGCGGTGTTGTGAAATAGTGTGGGTGTTCAAATGGAAGTGCCATTGTTTCCTCTTCTAGCCAATTCACTTCACCGTCACTTTTCAAAATTCCTTTTGGCTGTTCGCGGGATTCTAGCATGAATGTTCAGGAATAGTGCCGGGAGCTTGTCTAGCCGTGACTGGTTCTCAATACTTACAGCTTATTTTCTATTCCTGTCTTGATTGATATGTGAATCGCAGACACATACCGACTATATCCTAGCCTTGCTCCCTACCCGGGCGGGTAGCTGACAGCTCGTATTACCCAGCATGAGCTAAATAGTCATTCACAGGTATTAACACCAGCGAATGTAGCCGCACAGCTGCGATAGCGGACCCTCTGGTCTATCTAGCAAGGACTTCTACACGCTCCCAAATACCTACAACGTGAGTACCTATCCAAAAGAGACAAAACACACCCAATCTCAAATAATCAAACAGCAAACACTCCCAGCAAAAATGAAGAACCAGATTCTAATGTTCATCCTCCTAACCTTCCTCCTCTCTCTCACGACCGCCCTCCCCACAACCACAAACATCACACTCACAGCCCGCGAAGTCTGCCCACCTGAAGGCTGCGGCGGCTACGTCGACGTCTGGGAGGGGCCAAACCATACCGGCGACAACAAGAACAACCGCTACTTCGACCCGGGAGAGTGTACCCACCCCGACGACCCCTGGATGCCCTGGTTCGGACCCATACGTGGCATCAAGTTTGAAGGGGATATGAAGTGTTCGATCAGTAAGCGTGCTTGTAATAGCGATGAGTTCGACCAGTTCCCTCTTATTGTCACGAAGAGTACTGCGGATTTTGGGTTTGATGCTCGGAGCTACACGTGCTGGAGGTACAGTTAGTGGCTGGGTGCAAAGGCAAGGAGGGGAAGATATGGGATTACCCAATCTTGGTAGGTAGAAATATTGAGCAAGAGGAGAAACAAGAAGATCAACTCATTGGGTGCGTTTGAGTTTTGGGGAATATCATTCTTCACTATGAAATGAAAACCAGCTTATCTTCTTAACATTATTTTCTGATACATATATCCATGGTGGAATCCTCTTTACCAAGCATACTATGGTTATGCTTACTCGTGCACGATGCATGGTTGTGGTGGTGCTATTTTGTGCAACACTTTATTCCTTTCGACATCACTTAACTCCTTCCGTTGAGCATCTGAAGCTTAGATCCGACCAAGACTACGAACGGGATACCATAGTAAGACAAAAACCGTGAGTTGACAAACGTGAGAATCGCAAATGCATAAACTGTCAGACGAGTAAAATGCAATACAGGCTACAAA